TTACAATTTCCTTTTACAATCAAAAAACTTTCGAAACAATCAGCCTAGGCTCATTTTATAAATAAATAGAGAGAAATTTGCTAGGATTGGATAATATTGAGAGAAAAAAAAAAAGATAAAAGGATTATATCACTTAGTCGTTTTTCTTTTAGCTAATTAAAAAAAAAATGTGACAATTTTTGGACGGTCATTTTTTATAAGCTTCAAAAGTATTTGCTTAGGAAGTTCAATCGATGTTTCAATCATCCTAAACAAATTCATTGCATAATTAATTACCTAATCAAAAAGTTTATTTAGCAATTGATCAGATTATAATGCTTATCAAATTGTATGCGACATCCTTATAAAATGCATCCAAATTTTAAATGTATATTTGAAATTTATTTTTGGTTGAAAGGTTAAAGGTTAAGCATTATTTCATAATCTATTACCATTTCAATTTTCATGCTACATAAATTAGTTCAATTTCGGATATGCATATATATTAAAATCATTATTTGATTTTATTTCATTTCATTTACCATCCATTTGCTGGAAAATAGAATTTGTATATTTATGGAGAAGCATAAAAATTTCAAAGAATAAAAAAACTAACTTAAAAAGAAAATAGTTTAAAAAAATTAATTTCATAAATTTCTTTTTTGTTTTATGACTTTGAAAAGCTTTTTACGATCGTTCGCTTCTTACAAAGACAAAAAAAAAAAGAAAAAAAAGCGATACGGTAGATAAGCTATCAGCTTTTTTTTTTTAAATTACCATCCATTAATTGTTCCTGTTTTTTTTCTTCCTGCAATATATATTTATGTAATATTATATTTATATATGAGTGTACGTTTGTGTATGTGTGTATGTGTATATACGTTGTATGTGTGTATATGTACGTATGTATGTATGTATGTATATGTGACGTATATATGTACGTATGTGTGTATGTGTATGTGTACGTGTGTATGCATATGTATGTATATGTGTATGTGTGAGTATGTTCATGTATGTGCATATGTGTGTGCATTGTGCGTATGTACATGTATGTGTGCGTATGTATGTGTATGTGTGTATGTATATATATATATATACATTGGAAATGGGTGTGTATCATTCGCTTATTTTTTTAATTGTTTGTATGCTTGGTAATTTTTTTTCCAATAACATTGTCCTAATGGAGAAAATGATGGAAGGAAAAAAAGCTCACTTCCTGATAAAATTTTTTTTTTAAAGTTTTGTTCAAATTTTTCGTTAAAAAAAAAAAAAAGAAAAGAAATGATCGAACTGCACTTATTGCACGTAATAATTTAGAGAACTTTTTTTTTTTTTTAGAAAAAAAAAGTTCTTTCTTTTCCATTGAGCGGAAATGAATTAAGGAAAAATCAGATCTTCAAAAAAAATATCATTAAATAAAATGGTTAGCTAAATTTTGTCATAATCCGTAAAATATTTTATTATCCGGAAATGTTTTTATCCGGAAATGTTGTTGATTGATTCAGTTAGTTTTATTTTTCTTTTTTTTCGTACGGAAAATACCCTTTTGCTTGAAACAATTTTGTTTGAAAATTGTCATTATTATAAATTGAATTTATTTGGTTACGGTTGAGAATTTAAAGATTGTTATCATCATCAAAGTTATCAACTAATATCACATTTTGTGCCGTAAATGAAGGAAAAAAAAGAAAGAAAGAAAGAAAGAAAAAAGGACAGGAGAAGAAGTTAGAAATGGATTTCACTTCATAACATCAAATCTGTCACCATTCAAAGCTTTTTGTCATTTACTACAAGATGACTCATCAAAAATATTGTCAAACTGCAATGTCATTAAAAACAAAAAAAA